AAGTTTTCTCTCAAAGGAAAAAAGGGAGAAGCATAAACAGTATATGCCTAAGCATTCTTGATCATTCTCTCTTACTTCAGTGAACAATTTTCTACTCCTAATGTACACAAAATTTATTTGGAAATCATGGTAAATTAATGTGTCAACATTCAAAGCTAATACCACATCCTAAGTATTGAACTCAAACTTAAAATCCCAAGAATTGGTAAAATATTTATAATTACAAAAGTTCAATTTACAGTATTTGAGGAAATTAGAACACTTAAGTAACATGAACATGTTTGGGGATGTATTGGGTACACATTCACTGATTTTATTCAAACAATCAATTAGCTACAGCACACAAAACTTGGTTGAACAAATTCATTCATCCACACATTAATACAACACAGAAGTCATGCAGGGGGTACATAGTTAAGACATGTAAGAATAAGTGATTCACTGAGAATATTCAAAGTTAATTATGTTGAGAACATTCTGTATAAAACCAGTGAGTTGGTCACATCTAATTCATACTGGACCAAAATGAAACAACTTCCTGGACTTGTTAACGGGTTGCAATGTTTTAAGCAAAGACAGACATATTCTCTAAAAATGCAATGAAACATATCTCATCCTTTGTCTTAATTCATGAAACATAAGCAAAATTATTTACTATAAACAGGGAAAACTTCTGCCTCCCCCCTCAACTCCTATCTAGTCCATGAGAAATTCCTGCCAAATTCTCAGTCACATTTCTAGAATTATACGGGATAGGATGCAGTATGATTAAGTCTCCCTTCTTCTGCTTGCTGAAATAGTACAAGCCTTTAGAAAATCTCCAGCAGATCCCTATCAGTCATCAATAAATAATGAGCTACATACTAGCTTAACGGTAAGCAATGATATTGATATTATTCATTCTATTAAGTGAATACGTTAGATAGTCCTGCTTATACTATTAAAATCAAAACTATGGTTTCTTGGTGAGCACTTTAGTGTGGTAACTGTATTTTCCCTCTAGTTATCGGAGAGCACATCTGTACATACACTTGCAGACCTGTTGTGCTGATGGGGGCAAAGCTCCAATGCATGTACTACTGGAGACTGGTATCTTCAGTTGCTCCCAGTGACCTGCACTCGCCATCCATTCATGGTAAAGTAGTTAATTTTAATGTTCTCATTGTTTACCAGAAAGCACAGACAGGGAGGCTGGCTTTGCCGCTCCGGTTTCCTTTTGCTAGGCTGCTGTGCTTTTTCAGCCAATTGACTTTGCTTTGAGGCTATAAATATCTGAAAAATGTTCTGCATTTGATGCTCTTGGATTCTGCATCCATATTTAGCTGTTTGTGGCATGCCTTTGTTTAAGCTACTCTGCCACCCATAACAGTCAGTCAGTCAGGTTGGGATATGGATGGTCATAGGACAGATGGATCGTCATTCAACAGACACTGACTATGAGCAAGGTACCAATCTGCTAGACACAGTAACAATGAAGGGGCTGGCAAGATAGGAATACAAAGACAAACTAGACAGACTTCCTGGTGTCAAACATTTTATAGTCTTGACAGGGCATGGGCACAATTTATTATAATACTATAATAAACAAATGAAACATTTTATAACTAAAAGGAAATGAAGGATAGGGCAGCATAAATATGTTCTCTTAGTTATGTCTCAAAGACATGCATTTGTGTTCTAAATATACATCTACCTATTATAAGGCTCTGACATATTACAGACAAAGTTTTCCAATCCTGGCAATACACAAAACTCCAAATAGACGTATCATTAACAAAATAGTCAACAGCAAACTTAAAACAGTGCCTAGTCTTCAAATTTCATGAGGCAAACTAATAAAATATTGTTTTCAAAAGTTTCTGTTAAGGCATTAGGTGGGGGCGGGGAGGGGGGGACTGTTACTGCCATTTGTTTGTTTGTTTGCATATTGATTTCAAACATAAGTATACTATAGAGGATGTGAACCATAGCCAGAAGCCAGGAGCACTTAATACAGCTCCTTCCTTACTTTGCACTTTTAAAATCCACATGGCTATTTCAGGTTAGGGCTCAAAACTAGATGAGCTACACCTGAGCAAGACCCCATTCCCCACCTTCCTATCTTGCCAAACACTTCAAACAAATATACATCCGCCCTCAACATTCCTGCTTTACAAAACTAAGTTCACTGACCTTTTGATAAAAGTGCTCCCCAGAAGCCCGTGACAATCATGATTTAAACTTATTAAGGGCTTTCTTGATGCCTGTCCCCAAGAGTCAGACTGGAATTGGTAGGCCAAGTTGTAGGTAAAATAATAGGGCAGGCCACAGAATCAGACAACTGTAAGGCTAAAATGGACCACAGATACCAATTACTCCAGATTCTACATTTTATGTAGAAACCTAGAGCCACGAAGTTAAAATTACTTACCCAAAGTTAGACAACCAATTTGTGGCAAAGACAGATTGAAAACCCCAGTTCTCAATCCCCAGTTGTATACTCTAGACTGGATTCCCAGTTTCTGAATTTCTTTTAAAAACATCAGACCAAACTCATTCATCTCCTTAAATTGTGTAGAAGAACCCAAATGCTCCAAAACAATCAGGATTTTGAACACGTAAGACAAACAAGTAAACAAAACAAAATGAACTAGTGTTTTCCAAGTCGATTTTCTACATGCTATTATTTTCACTTCAAAGCTTTTCAAAGTTATGCAACAGACAACTTAAAAACTAGCTAAGGACACAGAAAAGCCAAGAATCATTCCGATACTTTTGGGATATTTATATCAAACTCAAGACAACAAAGTACTATCCAGGATGAGCTGCCTTAAGGGAGGGATAGTAGTACTAAACAGTAAATAAAAACAACCTCTAGGGGCGCCTGGGTGGCTCAGTCGGTTGAGCGTCCGACTTCGGCTCAGGGCATGATCTCACAGCTCGTGAGTTCGAGCCCCGCGTCAGGCTCTGTGCTGACAGCTCGGAGCCCTGGAGCCTGCTTCAGATTCTGTGCCTGCCTCTCTCTCTCTCTGCCCCAACCCACTTACATTCTGTCTCTGTCTCTCTCAAAAATAAATAAACATTAAAAAAATCAAAATAAAAACAACCTCTAGTTAATCGATAGGAAAGACAAAAATGTTACAATGCAGTGGAAAGTCTGCAAGTTGACACTGAAATGCCCAGTACATATGTGTGTGAGAATATATGTTTATATACACATACTTAAGAATACACATACACACATACATACACGTATATATGTATACACACACACCCTCACAAATCTACCCCTTTAAAAGGATAACAAAAACATGCACATATTCTTATGGGATACATGCAAAGTACAGTAATTCGTGCTAGGTCTAGAATATCCACACAGAATAGTTTTAGACACTGAAATACTAAATTATCATATACACATATTCTTGCAGTAACGGGGCCCTAACTCTAATTTTACATAAAAACCAATGTGCCAAAGTAAGGATAGAAAAGGATAGAATGGGAAAATGGTGTAACTACAATATACTCGAACTCCAGCTCATCTTTAGATCCTCATCAACACAACCTTTGTTACAAACTATCTGATAAGTGGGATCAGCAGGTGGATGGAAAATCAGGTACTAAAGTTTTTAATCTGCTGAGAATGAACTGGGTGGCCCTGCATCATCTCCTGCTTCTTTGCTTTAATTCTTTCAGTTACTTAGAATAACATCAAAAACCACTTATAAACATCATACAAAATATAAAGTGGCCCATACATAAATCCTCAAGAATTGGTTATAAGAGCTCCAAGATTCTTAGGACTAAAAGGGCCATTAAGAGATTATTTAATCCAATTCACCCCTTTTACAGATGAAGAATCAGAGGTTAAAAAAAAAAAGTAACCTTATCTACCTCAAATCTCATAGCCACTTAGTGGCAGAATCAAGAACAAAACTCAAATTCTGGACTCCTAGTTCTGAGATCTTTCTGATAGGGACGGACTTGAAGTCTTGAAATGAACTGAACTATCCACAGAGATAACTTCTAAGTCTGGATCACTCCTGAGTAGTAAACACATATCCTCTTCAGAAGGATGAAGAAAGAAAAGCCTAATGTACTTGATCACTACAGGTGCAGATGCACGTGACTGGATAACATCTTAAGGCTGTGTTTGACTCCAGGTGCTTCAAATTTGCCCTCTTGCATTCAGCCACATTACTAACGTCTTGTGTTCACGTGAGCTAAGTGATAAACATCTTGACATTTCAAGATTTTGGAAAGGCACAGCCGAGTCCTGAATATCACCAGGCTATAAACCCTTGGGCTCTGAGTTTTCAAAGCCAGCTTGGTTTTGATGCCGCCACAAGGCTCCCCCTAATAGAATCTCATCATTCAGTTTTAATTAACGAGGTGGTTACTAGGAATGCAGAGAGGGAAAGTTTTAGTGTGTTCATCACTTTTAACTTGCTGAGTAGCAACCCAGTCACTTTACAAAGAGAATCCGAAACAATAGTGCAATCTGACACAATCCACACCCCTTGGACTAAGTGATTGCCTTTGGGCGAGTGAGGTTCAGAAAGAGGTTAGAGATGAATGAGTCTGTTCCCACCCAATAAATATTTTTTGGTTATTCTATTTTCTTATCCACTGCTATTTCATGGTATCTTGGCTTCCAGCCTTGCCCCCCTCAAGAAACAGACATGAAACTCTGTTCACTTGATCCCATGGTGTGTTCCATCAGACTTCGGTTGACAGTTCCCCTGAAGTTACCACCTGAGAACTGAGTCTGCATAGCCCAACTCCACCTTAAACTCCCTGCAGGTGCCTGAGAAAGGTCCATAGACCGTCCTGAAAGGACACCTCTCTCCCGAGTGCCAGTCTGGAGAAACTTGTTACAAACGCACGCCGCAACAAAAAAGGGATGTGCGAGACTGACCCACGATGGATGGGGACTGAGGCCAGGACTGGAGCCTAGGGATGAATTTCAGCGCGAGCAAAGGCAAGAAATACCAGCCTCTAGGGTGGCCTGCGGTCCTTACCGTACACCCGGACCCAGCTCTGTTGCTGGCACACGGACTCCAGCAGGATCCGATCCAACATGCCTCCAGCCACGGCCCCGCCGACTGGGACAACCGCTTCCAGCTCCTCCGGAGGCAGCGGCGAGTCGGACTCCAGCCCGGGGAACATCTCCGGCCAGGACAGCGCCTCCGCGGCTCCTCCGGACGACGGGGAGAGCTCCATGGTGCCCCGGAGGGACAAGGCGGCGGCGGGGCGGGCGCGCGGCTCCGCGCCCTGCCTGCGGGAAGGGGAGGAAGAGAGCGCAGCGGCGGGGGGCAAGCACCCGAGCGGCAGCCGGCACCGACGCGGCTCACCTCCTTCCCCGCCGCCCACTGCCCGCGGCTCGGGCGCTGCAGCCCACCTGCAGCCAGCGGGCGGGACCCAGGCCGGGAGGCGGATCCAGCGTGGCCCCGGCCGGGGGTGGGTCCGGGCTCAGGTGTGGGTCCCTCCCGGGAGGGGACGTGGAAGGACCCGGGAGGGGCGGCTCGCCCGCCTGCCCCCGCGGAGCCGCCTCGCTCAGCCCTCGCCGGCGTCTCTCGCGGCCAGACCGCGCTAGGGCTGGGGATGCAGTGGGGCCGGGCAGGGCTGGGGGCGTCGCCGCCAGGGGCCGCCCCCTCTGACCGGCTCCCGCCGCCGCCGCCTCAGAGGCTCGGAGGGTCCGCTCCCTCGGGGAAGGGGGGCGGTGGCCCCGGGTTCTCGCCCGCCAGTCCTCGGCCCCCACCCCAGGAATGAGCCGGCCCGCCCCCTAACTCTCAGGCCACGGCTCGCGCCGCGGCTCCGGCTCCGGCTCCGCCACCGATCCCACAAGCCCGGCAGCCGCGGCGGTGGCGGCGGCAGGCGGCATCCCAGGGTGATAGGCCGGAGCAATCGAGGGCCGAGGGCCCGGCCGCGTGTGCAATCGAGTAACGAAGCGGAGGAGGAACTGCCACCGAAGGCAGGAAAAATCGGACACCGAGCTATTCATCCGGCCGGTCCCGCCTTCTTGCCAAAGACCCTCTCGGCGCCCGGCCGCCCGGCTGCGCGCGGTGCGGGTCCCGCCAGCTGCCGCGGAAAGTGGGGACGGCGCGGGGAGGCGGGGAAGAAGAGGGGTGCGGGAAATTTAAAAAGCGAGGAAAAGAGCTTCCCTTCCCCTCTTCCCCACCCCTTTCCCTTCGCGTAGTTATTTCTGTATTCATTTATTTGGACCGACATTTCTTTCTTACTGGAGGAAGAGATTAGAGAGGCTGCTTTATTTTACAGTTGCCGTTGGGGGAACGCCTCCTTCCTTCCCAGAGACGAGACTTGGCAACGGGGTCTGGATTGTGGGATCCGCGCTCTGCGCCCTGTCCGCGCCGAAGCTGGACTTGTCATCGGTTTAGAATAGCAGGGTTAAGAAGTGTGGTGTGGATGGATGGACGGGCCTCACAAGAAATGCTCAAAAGCCCAGTATGAACCAAACATGTTTCTCTTTTTTTGCCTTTGATCTTTGTGCAATATGTTGGCTTTCTCCCCCCCCCC